AGGATAAGAAACAATATAAAATTAAGGGTATACTATTACTTGTTCAGCTTCCACTTTACTTTCAGATCTCTTCTTTTTCTTTGGTTCTGGCTCAGGTTCTGGTTCAGGTTCTTTCAAGGGAGACAAAAGAATTTTTCCAATGTTCTTTCGTTCATGCATCTTTTGCTGTGCTTTGGCAACCTTCATAGAGAAAAATCATGAAATTTAAATCATGGAAATATTACATTTAAGGACTCTAGCATAAATAACATGTGGTCTGTAATGGGAAAATGTTGCACCAAAACAAATAAAGCCTACTGTGTTTTGGGATTTCCCTTATTAAACCCGTCAGGCTCCTTTTTAATGAAATAAAAAATTGTTATGGCTATTTACTACTGCAAGTAAGCAAGTAGGACAGTGGCACAGCTCAACAGGGTCAACCTAAAAGCTGAACAACATGGGATTGCTTAAAGACAAAGATAAAGCTATTTAGCATCTAGTGTGCTAATATTCAAGCAATTGACCCCTTATCAGATCCATTGACTGATTAATAGATAATAAATCAATTATATGACCCATGACCAAATATTGGTTCTAGTATATCAGCATACGAACAAGGTCAACTGCCATCTGTCCTACAAATTATAAATATTAAGCAAATTGGCTGCCATTGTTATTTAATGTTTTAACTTTGTTGATACAATTCTAATCTAATCTGCAAATCAATTCTAATCCACGATTTATAGCAAGTCCACATCAGCATTTGCTGCCACACTCTCAACCTGCTTGATCTTACCGGCATTTGCATTGCTACGCGGCCACCCCAGACAAAAATCGYGACGTACACTTTGCAATATAGACTGCCGTCAATCAAACAAGGTGACGTCATTTACACACGTTTGGATCGGCCCCGGATAGGCCCAGTGAGTGTGGCTCATAATACTTGTAAACAATTGACAAGTTTTGGCGCCTTCTGAATCCTACATGCGTGTAAATGATGCAACGTGTTTGATTGACGGCAGTCTATTGCAAAGTGTACATCGTGATTTTTATCTGGGGTGGCCGCGTAGCAATGCAAACGCTGGTAATAAAGAATGTATGGACGTATGTGAATGCACTATTTTATAAAATTTAAATTTAATTTTTTTTGATAATTAGTGGAGGCAATAATATTATTTGCATTCAGCTTATAAATGCAACTTTTTTATGAACAGTAGTGGCAAAAAACACAGTTTGACAGTTACTATTTTCTGTTGCAAAATATAATGAATGATCCATTACAGGATGATAGAACGATCATAAGTCTGTTATCACATGTATGCTAGTAGTTGAACATTATATAAATAATGCATTTTTTTACGTAAAGAAGTGGCAAAAAAGGTACAAGTTTGACAGTTATTAATTTCTGTTGCAAAAAATAATCATGAATGATCGACTACAGAATGATAGAACAATGATACAGTCTGTCATCACATTTATGCTAACAATTGACCATTATGTAAGGTTATAAGGCTTAATTCCTTAATCAAATTAGTGATTATATAGGCTTGACCTTACGTCATGAACATGGTGATAAACAGATTTAGTCCCTTTGCACACAGACACAGTTAATAAAAATTAAATCATCTTTGTTTTTACAAGGGTAACACATAATAGCTAGTGGCTAACAAACCTGTGGCCCTCATTTCATGATAGAATTGGAATTTAGAAGTTAATTTTTGCAGAGGGAGGAAAGCCGGAGAATCTAGAGAAAAGCCCTTGAAGCACAAGTGGGAACCAACTAGAAACTTTGTTCATATATGAAACTGAGTCTGAAAATTGAACCTTTTTGCATTGGTGAAAGGCGAGTGCTACACTACAGTGCTTCTCTATATAGAGTTTTCCTAAGTTACTRTGTTACACCATAACAAAGTTGCAATTTTAGTTCGTAATTAGGAGTTTGCAACACTATCTAGCACGACATTTTAAATACTAATTCAAGACCGACAAAAATATAATGATTTGAAAGAGCATGTGACTGTTAATAAAAGTTGAAAAATTGATGTAAATTTAGTAAATATGAAAAAAGTTTTGTCCAGTTTGCACATTTTGTATGGATTTGTTTGATGGTTGGCAACAACTTGATCTACACAGAACAGTTGTTATAAAAAAGCTTTGCTCATCGCTAAGGAACACACTGTACAAGACTGAGACACTTGTGCATATTGACCATATGTTTACCACAATATCACAATACATGACCTATACCTACTTCCTGAAGCATAACCAAATAACCACTGAATATAAGATATAGACTAAACCAATTCAATAGTATCTTTAAGGCTTTCGCGTTCAAACATGATCAATTAAATGTAAGATTACAGCTAAACCATGTAGAACTTTTAAAAACATGACGTTTTTGCTATAACTAGTGATAGCCTTCATCAGAATGATGATGAAAATGTGTGAAGCGAGTAAATGYAAACAAAGGGTGGGAAGAGGCAATGAAGCAATGAATGAGTGACATGTCTATTATTCTATTCAAAACAGGTAATGTTAAGTAATGTTGCTACTACAGTACCTCTTCTAGGGCAAATACGCTGTCAATGCAAGGCTTGAGGGCACCATCATTATACAACTTCATTAAATCCTTCATTGCATCCCGGATCAAATCTATTGAGGTATAGATGCGGCCCAAATGAAATCCACAGACTGTCTTGTTGTCTGGGATCATCTTCGTGGGGTTGAAGGTTACACCTTGAAACCACTGCAATGAAATGAGAATTACCGTTCACTCCGCTCATTTCGCAACTACTATAACCAGGGCCACTTACACCAGTTAGACAAGAGAACCAATTAAAATATAGAATGAAAACAATGCATTACAACTCAGTGAGGTCTTGGGGTGGGGTGAGGGGGTAGGGCAAGGGGGTGGGGGTCATTTCCCATCCCCAAACAAACATCTCCAAATAGTAACTTACATTTTTTGCTGCCGAGAACACACCCTTTGACTCTGAAATTTGATTTGCATAACCTATAGATTGAAGAATCAAAATTTTAAAAATTAATAGTACTAAACTCTAACTTAAGATAAAAAAGTTCAAAATTTTATAATCAATAGATCTTATTCATCATGGTGCAATGCTTTCACTTTACAGACCATGTGTCATTCCCAAGAGTATCATTCCCTTGAGTATCATTTCTATGTTTAACGGTTGAACGCCAGAAGATACATGAATATGGATACAACTCAAACAAGGAATCTTATTCTCAAGGTTATGACATGCGATCTGTAATGGGAAAACTTTGCACCACAACAAATAATGTTTATTCAATGAAGTATAGCAAAATTAAGTAGTTTTATCTAAAGTCCTGAACAACTATGGAAAATGCCCACATTTATTCTATTGAATTTGTTTATTCATTGACCTGAATAAAACCAGAAACACCTGACAGACCAATCAGAGCTAGCTATGACTCAATCTATCCAATCAGAACACATCTTAGGCATGGTTTAATGCATTATAAACCATGCCATTATAATATTACTGATCAAAACCTGGGTCCAGTCGTATGAAGGGTGGATAGTGCTATCCTACTGATAAATCCTTATCCAGTGGATAAATTTATTGAATAACAGCATTATCACCTGGATAAGGATTTATCTGTCGAATAGCACTGTCCACCCTTTGTATAACCGGGATTTTCATGCCTGCTTAAGCCATTCATAGTGAGAGGGCTGATATATTAGCTGATGTGTACAAACACTAAACACTTATTTATTCGCATCAGTGAGTGCGAAAGGAGATATTGAGGTTAGCCCTATCGTGAATTTCACCTAGGATCGAATTAGAATTTAGAAGTTGATTTTGCGGAGGGAGGAAAACCCGAGAACCTGGAAAACACTTGAAGCACAAGAGAGAACCAACAAACAACTCAACTCACATACAACACCAAGCTCGTTGGGACTCGAACCAGGGTCACATATGTGAGAAGCGAGCGCTCTCTTCGCTACGCCACCCATGCTTCCCTACTATAATAGCTAGTCATTAATATTGTTGTGAAATACGCTCATGCTGCTTTTGTACATCAATACAGAGATTTAGCAAACACAATGTGACGTGGAAGAACACAGCTCATGCATTAACAAATGGCATTGAAAATGATGTCCTGAATGTGGCACTGTGATGTCAATGGTCATTTTGAAAGCCATTCATTAGCATGAGTGCCTTCGTCTTTCATGTTTGCTGAAACTCTCTAATTCAAGTATGCTAGCCATAACTTACCAAAGCAGATCATTGCTCCCATAGGATTAAGAAGATCATAGCATTTCTTGGTATCTGAGCCTGATAGTGGCTCAAGAATCAGGTCTACACCATGAGTTATGCTACAAGGAAAAAAACATTTGTTGTGGGATTACTGGGCTAGTCGTGTGCATGTGTCTTGGGTGGGGCCGAGAGGGGGGAGGGGTGRGGGGGTAGGGGGTGAAGGGGATTGGCATACTCACTCTTTAATAGCATGGACATAATCCTGYGTTCTGTAATCAATGGGATGATCAACACCAAACTCTTTGATCATTTCATGCTAAAAAATAAAAATAAAAATTCATTTTATCTTATTATTCTAACAAAAATTAGCCYGTTAAGTTAACAGATCCTATAAAGAGGTTCAATATCTCAGCCATGTTTAGGGGAACCTTGKATAATGAAATATTTTTGCCTTATGAAGTGGCTGCAAAAAATCCCACAAAAGCTGATCAAGACAAAATAGATAATTCTTTCTTAGTAAATAGGTTGTCTTATTTCAGATATCTTATCGATACCCTGAGACAGCCTCTGGGCTGTTCCAAGTCAAAGTTGACTAACTTATACATCGAATTGGAGGACCGGACAACCTGTCAGAAAAAAAGCTTCGGATCAAGGGAGAGAGCTAACAAACTCTACTTTCATGTGATGCCAAGTCTGGGAATCAATCCTGAGACCTCAGAGGTGAGTGGCAAGTGGTTCTACTGCTATGCCACCCGTGATTCCAAACATGTCATTCTCTTGAGAGTAGGATTCTTTGTTTGAGTTGTATCCATATTAATGTTTCTTATGTGCAACCGTTAAACAAAGAAATGATTCTCTAGGGAATGACACATGGTCTATAATGGAAGACCACTACCCCTAAGCTACAAGGGTTTATTGATTATCCCTTACCTTTGAAGCAGAAGCAGTACCAAAAATTTTCAAACCCTCAACAGTCTTGCAGAGCTGGGTTGCTGCTGTTCCCTAGAAAATCAATTACATAGGAAATTTGAATTTTGAAGGTAAAGGTAAAGTAAGTTTATATTAACGTCGGTAGTTCCTTCAACTGGTATCCCAGGAAGCTGACAGTGCACACTTTGCACTCTCTCTCCATCAGGGCTATGTTTTAAGAGTATTCAAAGCTAAAGCTACACAGAACAGAGAAAAGTTGAAACAGACGTGGAGATCCTGAGGATCCAACTGTGGACCTCTGGCTCTGTCCACCGCACACAATCCAACTGAGCTATGCCTCTCCAATTCTGGATTATGTGTATGGAAGTAGAATGGATGAGAATAAATTTTTCCCATAATAAAGTGACTTTGAAAATGTGTATGGGTGAAGAATGGATGAGAATAAAGTTTTCACATAGTATAGTGATTTTATGGTGATTTTATGGGTGTTTCTTGAAGGGTTASTTGTTTGCATGGGATGGTTTGTGGGTGGTAAGGATCAGCTCTCTTTACCCTTCTATGGTGCTTTAATCACTTAATAGACCTTATTCGTGGTGTGACAATGTTTTCCCAATTCGGCTTGACAAACCTCCAGAGGATTCATTTTCTTTTCTTTTTACTCTTTGAAAAATTCATGAGTATCCCAAAGGATACRAAAGGAATAACAATGATATCCGGACGTGTTGCAAAACAATAGCTCTTCATTCCCCCAGAGGTTTGTCACGTTGAATTGGGAAAACATGTCACACCACGAATAAGGTCTATTCCTGYGTGATGTATGTATAACTGAACAGAGCAAGTGAAAACATCACCATTGGTAACAATTCTTAGAAATCGCATTATAGACAGTAAAAATCCACAAAAATTGTATTTCATCGATAACTATATATAATTCAAAACATTACATGGCCAATTGGAGATACAGATTTTACTAAGTCGCAGCACTCAACCGTAACATATCGCCTCCACAATCAAAGATAAGATCCCTATCTCCGCRTGGCCATGTCATATCCTCTATGTTTCTTATAATTACACACCACTCCACCAGCAGCCATATGAATTAGAATGCTCTTTCTCCTCTTTATGTTACCACAATGGAACAACATGAGATATGCCGTCAGGTAGGTGACAGGGAACGCTGCACCTTCTTCAAAGGTCATTGATTCAGGCATCACAAAGCAATGAGTGAAGGGCACAGCTACGAACTCTGCCCAYGAACCAAAGAGTGTTATGCAGCATACTCTTGATCCAACCTATGCAAGTAACAAATACAATTATGAAATAACTGTTATTTATTTTTTTCTGGTCTGGTATTCTAAAAGATCGTGCGTTCTGATTGGCTGTTTGAGGGGGCGGTATTTTGTCAGTATCTGCCCGCACGC